TAGTGGTCTTTCTATTTTGTTGGTCTTTTCAAAAAACCAACTCCTGGATTCATCGATTTTTTTAAGGGTTTTTCGTGTCTCTATCTCCTTCAGTTCTGCTCTGATCTTACTTATTTCTTGTCTTCTGCTGGCTTTTGAATTTGTTTGCTCTTGTTTATCTAGTTCTTTTAATTGTGATGTTAGGGTGTCAATTTTAGATCTTTCCTGCTTTCTCTTGTGGGACTTTAGTGCTGTAAATTTTCCTCTAAACAACGCTTTAGCTGTGTCCCATAGATTCTGGTACATTGTGTCTTTGTTCTCATTTGTTTCAAATAGCTTATTTATTTCTGTCTTATTTTCATTATTTACCCAGTATTCATTCATGAGCAGGTTGTTCAGTTTCCATGTAGATGTGTGGTTTCGAGTGAGTTTCTTAATCCTGAGTTCTAATTTGATTGCACTGTGGTCTGAGAGACTGTTATGATTTCCGTTGTTTTGCATTTGCTGAGGAGTATTTTACTTCCAATTTTGTGGTCGATTTTAGAATAAGTGCAATACGGTGCTGAGAAAAATGTATATTCTGTTGATTTGGGGTGTAGAGTTCTGTGGAGGTCTATTAGGTCTGCTTGGTCCAGAGCTGAGTTCAAGTCCTGAATATCCTTGTTAACTTTCTGCCTTGTTGATCTGTCTAATGCTAACAGTGGGATGTTAAAGTCTCCCACTATTATTGTATGGTAGTCTAAGTCTCTTTGTAGGTCTCTAAGAACTGGCTTTATGAATTTGGGTGCTCTTGTATTGGGTGCATATGTATTTAGGATAGTTAGCTCTTCTTGTTGCATTGATCCCTTTACCATTATGTAATGCCCTTCTTTGCCTCTTTTGATCTTTGTTGGTTATAGTCTGTTTTATCAGAGACTAGGATTGCAACCTCTGCTTTTTCTTTTTTTTCTTTTCTCTTTTTTTTCTTCTATCCATTTGCTTGGTAAATATTCTTACATCCTTTTATTGTGAGCCTATGTGTGTTTTGCACATGAGATGGGTCTCCCGAATACAGCACACCAATGGGTCTTGACTCTATCCAATTTACCAGTCTGTGGCTTTTAATTGTGGCATTTACATTTAAGATTAATATTGTTATGTGTGAATTTGATCCTGTCATTATGATGCTAGCTGATTATTTTGCCCATTAGCTGATGTGGTTTCTTTGTAGTGTCGAAGTTCTTAAAATTTGCTGTGGTTTTGCAGTGGGTAGTACCAGTTGTTCCTTTCCATGTTTAGTGCTTCCTTCAGGAGCTCTTGTAAAGCAGGCCTGGTGGTGACAAAATCTCTCAGCATTTGCTTTTTTGTAAAGGATTTTATTTCCCCTCACTTATGAAGCTTAGTTTGGCTGGATATGAAACTGAGTTGAAAATTCTTTTCTTTAAGAATGTTGAATATTGGCCCCTACTCTCTTCTGGCTTGTAGGGTTTCTGCAGAGAGATCCACTGTTAGTCTGATGGGCTTCCCTTTGTGGGTAACGCGATCTTTCTCTCTGGCTGTCCTTAACCCCTTAACATTTTTTCCTTCATTTCTACCTTGGTGAATCTGACAATTATGTGTCTTGGGGTTGCTCTTCTTGAGGTGTATCTTTGTGGTGTTACCTGTATTTCCTGAATTTGAATGTTGGCCTGTCTTGCTAGGTTGGGGACTTTCTCCTGGATAATATCCTGAAGAGTGTTTTCCAACTTGGTTCCATTCTCCCCCTCACTTTCAGGTACACCAACCAAATGTAGGTTTGGTCTTTTCACATAGTTCCATATTTCTTGGAGGCTTTGTTCATTCATTTGCATTCTTTTTTCTCTAATCTTGTCTTCAAGCTTTATTTCATTAAGTTGATCTTCAATCTCTGATAGCCTTCCTTCTGTTTGATTGATTTGGCTATTGATGCTTGTGTATGCTTCATGAAGTTCTCCTGTGTTTTTCAGCTTCATCAGGTTATTTATGTTCTCCTCTAAACTGGTTATTCTAATTAGCAATTCCTCTAACCATTTTTCAAGGTTCTTAGCTTCCTTGCATTGGGTTAGAACATGTTCCTTTAGCTCAGAGGAGTTTGTTATTACCCACTTCTTCTGTTTGTTATTACCCAATTACTTCCGTCAGTTCATCAAACTCATTCTCCATCCAGTTTTGTTTCCTTGCTGGCGTGGAGTTGTGATCCTTTGTGGGGAGAAGAGGCGTCTGGTTTTAGAAAGTTTTAGCCTTTTTGCACTTGGTTTTCGTCATCATCATGGATTTATCTACCTTTGGTCTTTGATGTTGGTGATGGCGTTTCTGAGTGGACGTCCTTTGTGTTGATGTTGATGCTCTTCCTTAGTTTTCCTTTTAATGGTCAGGCCCCTCTGCTGCAGGTCTGCTGGAGTTTGCTGGGTATCCACCCCAGACCCTGTTTTCCCGTGAAGCCAGTAACGATTGCTGCCTGTTCCTTCCTCTGGAAGCTTCATCCCAGAGGCACACCTGCCAGATGCCAGCTGGAGCTCTCCTCTATAAGGTGTCTATCAATCCCTACTGGGAGGTGTCTCCTAGTCAAGAGTTGCCAGGGTCAGGGACTCACTTGAGGCGGCAGTCTGTCTCTTAGCAGAGCTTGAACGCTATGCTGGGAGGTCCGCTGCTCTCTTCACAGCCAGCAGGTAGCGACGTTTAAATCTGCTGAAGCTGCACCCACAGCCTCCCCTTTCTTCAGGTGCTCTGTCTCAGGGAGTTGGGGGTTTCATCTATAGGCCCACAACTGGGGCTGCTGCCTTTTTTTCAGAGATCCCCTGCCCAGAGAGGAGAAATCTAGAGAGGCAGTCTGGCTACAGAGGCTTTGCAGTGCTGCAGTGGGCTCCATCCAGTTCAAACTTTCTGGCAGCTTTGTTTACGCTGTGAGGGGAAAACTGCCTACTCAAGCTTCAGCAATGGTGGACACCCCTCCCCCCACCAAGCTCGAGCATCCCAGGTCAACTTCAGACTGCTATGCTTGCAGTGATAATTTCAAGCAAGTGGATCTTTGCTTGCTGGACTCCATGGAGGTGGGATCTGCTCAGCTAGACCACTTGGCTCCCTGGCTTCAGCCCCCTTTCCAGGGAAGCGAATGGTTCTGTCTCACTGGCATTCCAGGTGTCACTGGGGTATGAAAATAACTCCTGCAGCTAGCTCGGTATCTGCCCAAACAACCACCCAGTTTTGTGCTTGAATCCCAGGGCCCTGGTGGTGTAGGCACCCAAGGGAATCTCCTGATCTGTGGGTTGTGAAGACCGTGGGAAAAGAGCAGTATCTGGGTGGGAGTGCACCCGTTCCTCATGGCACAGTCCTTCATGGCTTCCCTTGGCTAGTGGAGGGAGTTCCCCAACCCCTTGTGCTTCCTGGGTGAGGCAACGCCCCACCCTGCTTCTGCTCACCCTCCATGGGCTGCACCCACTGTCTAACTAGTCCCAGTGAGATGAGCCAGGTACCTCAGTTGGAAATGCAGAAATCACCCGCCTTCTCCGTTGATCTCGCTGGGGGCGGCAGACTGGAACTGTTCCTATTTGGCCATCTTGCCAGCCACCAAACATAACTATTATATGCACTGAGAAACCTAAAAATTTGTGTGACACTTTACTCTGTCAGTTGCTTTATTGTAGTAGAGAGAGAACCCACAGTTTCTTCAAGGTATGTCTATAAATATTAGATTATTTAATTTTCAAATCATATATATACCAATAATTTTACATATATAACTTTATTTAATACTCAAAACAATACATTCATTAGGTGCTATCTTATTGTTTCCATGCCCAAGGTTAAATTCAATATAACTAATCCAGCCATTTATATTTTCATAATTATTACAAAATGCACACTTTTTTATTTTACATGTGTATAGTGTATCACTTTAACTTTGTCAAAGTAAGACAAAAAGTAAATAGAGACTTCAGACTGAAAGATCAGTATAAACCACAAAATATCTGATAATTTAATTATCAAAATCGATTACAGAGTAAGAATTGTTTATACTTCAATTGCCTTGCATTGTAAATTTATAGAATAAAAGATCAGTGTAATTTTCACCTCTTCTTGAAGATAGAGCCCCAAAGACTATGTTAGCAACATTAATATAAATAATTAATAAATTATACCGTTTATAATCTTGATAGTATTCACAAACTTGTTTTTCACAATTACCCACTATGAATGAAAGAGTAGGAAATTTCTTGCAGTAATCATCTTAGCCCAAAGACAATGTGATATATCTTCATTCTGACTTAATAGTAATGAGACTATTTCTACATGCCTTCTCATTTCTTGAGAGCCAGTGAAACCACTGTTAGTATCCCTAACACATTATTGTTATTATAAAATATCTCTTGATAAATGCTTTGTAAGTAAAAATATAGACTCACTGTCCAAATAAAATAAGGCCCTATTTTCCCAGTCATTCATCTGTCTATCCATCTATCCATCCCTCCGTCCATCACTTAAATTTATGTCTGAAGTTGCAATATTTTGAATTTTTGCAATCAGACCTTGGAGATGACCTTGAGCAGCAGGATGCTTAGTGTTCCAATAATTGAATGCATGCCTAGCATTCCAATAATGGAACCCTAGGCATAAATGGCCTAAACACACAGATAAGGAGGACATGTAGTATACCAGGTACCAAACAGGTGTTGGAAAAAACAAGCCAATATACACATGCTCTGCTTCCAAGTAGCTTCTAATACTGATTGATTGACCCGAAAGTCAATATTTACCTTCAATACAGCATAGTAAAGAACAGAATCAATGTATAAAGTATTTTAGAAACACTAATTGGATAGAAATCACGATTATGTTTATTTAGGTAATGTTTTATAGAGTAGAATTGTGGAGAGAACATTTTTGGGAGAGAGGATGAAGCATTTTAATGCATTGAGTATAACAAGTTATCTTTATTTCTGAAAATGTGATAAATTTAAAATAGTTGGCACATAAGATGTTCATGGCATAATTGCTGTTTATGAGATTGGAAGAGTAAGTTAGATATTGACTATTTTTAAGTGATTTAAATACCATTCATTTGAAAATACAATTTCTTTCTGATAGCTTTTTGAGTGCATTTTTCACATGCTTGTTTCTGAAACTATAAATTATTGGATTAAACATGGGAAATACAACAGTATAAAACACTGCTGCCACCTTATCAGTGTCTAGGGAATAGCTGGTGGTGGGCCGTAAGTACATAAACAGGAGCGTTCCATAGAATAAGGTGACTGCTATGAGGTGGGAAGCACAAGTGGAGAATGTTTTGCTTCTGCCACCTGACGACTTGATGCTCAACACAGTGATGAGGATGCAAAAGTAAGAAATAAATATGACCACAAAAGTGCTGGTCTGGATGAAGCCGCACAAAGCAAAGAGCAGAAGCTGGTTGATCTGAGTGTCTGTACATGATAGAGCCAGAAGAGGTGGGATATCACAGAAAAAATGATTGACAATATTGGAGCCACAAAATGGCAGCCTGAATGTGAGGCACACATGGACCAGTGATGTCATACTTCCACTGAAATATGCCAATACAATGAAGCAGACACAGACTCTCCTAGACATCAGCGTAGAATACAGCAGTGGGTTGCAGATGGCTGTATAGCGGTCATAAGCCATTGCTGCCAGGATAAGGCATTCAGCATCAGCAAAAGAAGCAAAGAAAAACATTTGTAGTGCACATCCATAAGGAGAGATGCTTTTCCTGGATGCTAAGAAGTTTGCCAGCATTTTAGGAGTGATTGCTGTAGAATAGCTGATATCTAAGAAAGACAAGTTGCTAAGAAAATAATACATGGGGGTTTGAAGGCTTGAATTAATATTAACTAGAATTATTAAGAGCATATTTCCCACCATAGTTAATGTATATACCATAAGAAATACCAAGAACAGTGTGACTCTGAGAGGTAGAGAATCTGTGAATCCAACAAATAGGAACTCAGTTGGCATGGTGTAATTACTCTCCAACATCTTAGTTTTCTTGTTTTTCCCACTGGACCTAGAGAGTATCAGAAGATGTAAGTTAACTTGAGTTATGGATGAAACAAAAGTATCTTTATTCTCTTCTTCTAAGGAAGCAAATAGAAGGTCAGTAAAATCACAGAGATGGCGTTTTTTGTAAATTTTGATTTTGTTTTTATACTTTGATTAAAGGAAGTATAGTAATTAAAGATCATGGATAGCAGAAAATGTTATTTAGATGGTGGTGTTTTATACTGTAGTACCTCTTTAAATGCACTGCACTTTATGTGATGATACTAGTTTTTTTCTTTTTTTTTTTATTATTATACTTTAAGTTCTAGGGTACATGTGCACAACGTGCAGGTTTGTTACATATGTATACATGTGCCATGTTGGTGTGCTGCACCCATTAACTAATCATTTACATTAGGTATATCTCCTAATGCTATCCCTCCCCCTTCCCCCCACCTCACGACAGGCCCCAGTGTGTTCTCTTTCCTGTGTCTAAGTGTTCTCATTGCTCAATTCCCACCTGTGAGTGAGAACATGTGGTGTTTGTTTTTTTGTCCTTGCAATAGTTTGCTGAGAATGATGGTTTCCAGCTTCATCCATGTCCCTCCAAAGGATTATCAATCATGCTGCTATAAAGACACCTGCATATGAATGTTTATTGCGGCACTATTCACAATAGCAAAGACTTGGAACCAACCCAAAGGTCCATCAATGATAGACTGGATTAAGAAAATGTGGCACATGTACACCATGGAATACTATGCAGCCATAAAAAAGGATGATACTGTTTTTTTTTTTTTTCAAGCTGAAAGGGATAAATGTAGCTCATGTAAAGAAACCTAGTAGAATAATGAGAGTTGGCAAAATCTCTAGAGGCAAAACTCTAGTTTTGCAATCCTAAAATCGCATTCTTCTACATAAAGGAGAGTTGAGATAAAATATGAAAAATGTCCATATTTGAACTATGTAATTCCACAGAAGAATATCTGTGATGTTGGGAGGTTACCTAACATAGTAGCTAAGAGAATGATGGTTATGCCAGAGATGGCTGGATTTACAACTTGGCTTTGCTATTTACTATTTGTGTGACGTTGGTATAGTTATTTGACTTTCTGTGATAGTTAAAATGAATAAATAAATATTCCTAGTAAATAGATATCTGCACATCACTTATATGACTACACGTACAAGTCACTGTATGAGTGCTGTTTAAATAAAATTTATTAAAAATAAATAAATCGACTCCATTTTGATTCTTTTGATTTTATTTTATCCGAACACCATGAAATATCCAGATCATTCTTAATATTAATCTTGTCCTTGACATCATAGATACATTATTTGTTTTCTCTTGTAAAAAGTTGTGTGTGTGTGTGTGTGTGTGTGTGTGTGAGACACACAAATGTATTGTTTGGCAGTACTAAATCCTTACTCATGCCCTATCCTTGTTGCTTTCTTTTTCAAGGTTTAGTTTGCTTTATCTCTGAAGTAAGCACTGTTTGGTTTGAAGTTCCAGAAACAGTATGTTTTGAAGGGCTGCATATGCAATTGGACTTCTAAACTAGTTCTGTAAGGACAAACATTGTATGGAAAAATGAAAAAATAATCAAGAACAAAAAAAGCTAAGATTATTTTAAATAAAATACAATGCTAATGGAATATTCAGCAGGAAGTTATATCATTTGGAAGTGAGAAGTGTCTACAGTGAGTAACGTAGTAAGTAAGGGAAATTATGGGATCTAATGTCTCTATCATACCTGATAACCTCAGAACCTCTTCTCTCCAGCCAAATGGCAAGGAATCTTCTAAATGTACTGAAAAGAGAAGCCAGCCTTCTCTGCGAACTCACATTTTTTAGAAGAGCAAATAACTTGACAGGGTAAGAATGCAATCTGTGTAGCTAAAACTATAGTGAAGAAATCCCAACTCTGAAAAAATACTAGAAAAATGTACAAAAGTCATTTGCAAGCTTTATATAACATTCAAATCTTCACAACTGGATGCGTATTTTCTCTCTTATTTCCAGCCAACCCTAGCAACTTTCCACTGTTACATTTCTGATGGGATGGCTAAATCAAATTCACAGGCTCATCCAAACAAGTGACATTTCCATTAATGATTTTAATGAGTTTATATATTATATCCAAAAACAAGTTATGAGATCAAAGTCTTATTTTTCTTCCTTCAGTCCCATAACACCTACAAAACCATTTAAAGGGGTTTTGTAATCAATTGTCCAGAGAGAGACTGAGCATCTCAGGACAACTTTCCTTTTCCTACAGGATTATCTCACACTGCTCTTAGCTGAAATCAGAAAAATCTCCTAAAATGAGTTGAACCCCATTGGATCTCAGGGAAATCTCATTTGACAAACCTCCTATTTCTAAAAGATGTCCATTAATAAATTGTATTTGCTATTCTCTTTGAAAGAGATATGCAGATAGCAGAAATATTAATACTGATTACACTCAATCTATTCTCTTTCCTTTACAAATGGCATTGTACTGAGCTTAACCACGCAGGATTTGAAGTTAGGCAAACGAATGTAACCTCAGGTCTAAATATAACTTTCTAGAAGTCATTGAACTTCTCTATGCCTAAATTATTTGTCATATTTAATTAGCATAATAATACTGAAATCAAGATTGAACTAGGTAGCTTTACAGAAGTTGCTATGCTGTAGATGCATCAAAATGTATGTTATTATATATTATAATTATTACTATTAATGCCATTATGATTATTTAACAATTCAATATCTGACTTTGAAATGACAAATTCTCCTAGTTTGTTTTTATATAAACAAACATAAACAATTAACCACACTGTAAGTGAATATGTGATATGTGCTTGTAAAATCAGAGGTTTAGCATGCTGCTACAGAAAGTTAATACACCGTTGATTTTCCAAAAATTCTTAAGTAGGCATAGTCAGCTTCCATCTCATGGCAATAAGGTACACAACGAATTGGGCAGTGATTTTTTTTTTCTAATTGCCATGGATAAGGTAAGCTTAGGTCTATGCTACTACCATTTTCTCCCCACACTCTTAACCCACATACATACACAAACTGAAACACACCACACACATGCACACACACACACACAGAAATAGCAGAGATACATTTTATTTGAGGTAAATTCATGATCTTTGCTACATTCACAATAAACATTTTGTTGATGCGTTAGAGAAAAAATCACCTACCTCAGCACCATCAAGAACTTTGAATTGTAGAATTTACTTTGCACAATGGGTTATCAATATTTTTCTCTAGATTTTAGAAATAATTCTTATAAGGGATGACTATATATATATTATAGTCTGTGACAAGTGAGACAGTATCCCAAGATAATTTCCAATCCCAGTAGGGCACCTGATAGTTAATTACTCTCATCCTAGTGGTATAGGTATACAGTTAAGCTGATCTCTTTTAAATGAAAAAAGGTAAAGAATAATAACACAATTGACTATAATGTAACCAGTAATAACATAACCTGTCTTCATCATTGAGAGAGGTTTGATTAAAATGATCTTTTAATTCTACCAACAATCTTTTAATTCTACCAGCAAAAAATTATATTTCTTCTGTAAATTCTTATTTCTATCAGTTCTCATTATGAATCCAGTTATTTAATGATACTTTGAAGTATTTAGTGATACTATGGAATTCTAAAGTACAAGCTCAATATATTAAGAAGAATCTCAGGCACTCTAATTTTTGGTTGTTTTTCCACTGTTGGAGTGACTAGAAAGAAATATGCCTTGAATGTTAAGCTACAGGAGTAAACACTGGTGACTCAGGCAACCTAGATTTGAACGGTAGTCGTGCCATTTCACGGCTATGGCACCTTGAACTACTTATTTAATCTAATGTTTGCTAATTTTTAAATTGTGAATAATAATTGCACACATCAAATTCTTGTCAAGATTGAGATAACTCAATGTCACTTGTTCAGCAGATGGTACTTGTTCCATGACTCTTAGTGTTCTCTAATAATTATAGCAGTATTTGCAACAGTATTTCTTAATACTTTATAACACTGCTCTAGATCGTAACATTATTTAAATGATTGACAATGGCATAGTCTATACCTTATGATTCTTAAGATTGACAGACTAGACAGTGGATAAATACCGACTCCCACCTGGCCTCTCTTCTATACCTGGTAGGAAAATTGAAATCAGTTTTGAGGCTTTCGGAAGGGCTTTTTATTTAATGGGTGGACCTATTTTAGAAATAGGAGGTTTAAACAAAGTTGTCAACCTTTAAGCGCATCCAGTAAATGGTTCAAAAATGCACTCATTCACATAGAAGATGAATATAATCTCTAAAATTGAAAGCAGCTTATTCATATGCTGTGTCCTTTATGTGGTAGGAAATAATAAGGTTTGTAAAAGGATGCTTCCATATAAGGAATCACAGAAAGCCCCCTGATGCTTGGATATACAGAAACAAGGATTCTAAATTGCTGATATTTCCAGTTTTCCATATTATGTTTGTCTTCAATATGGTGGATAATTGTGTTCTTTAATGGGATAATGAAAGGCAAATTGACTTTTTCTTCAGAGCCTGAAATTTACAAATATAGAGACTAATATTGACATTTTGTGTTTCCCCTGCTAAGAAAAAGTAAAATGACTGAGAAAGTTTGCTTTCCTTTTGTGGGTTAGAGAGGGAGAGAAAATACTATACAGATTAAAAGTTTCAAGGAGGGTAGCACGGGCTGTACTGTAAGGAGACCACATCTGAAATGATAGTTTTAGATAGAAATACTTGATCAAATTAATAAAGAATAATTGACTCATATTTTTGAAGACTCATTTTTCTTCTCTACTGGCAAAATAAAAGAGCCAAACTGTAATTACATTAGAAACTTTGCCGTCTGTATATTTTTAAATGTTAGTATTGTGCAGGAAAAGATAAACTCAACTATCTGGAGTCTTCAGAACCGGCCCTGACAACCTCTGAAACTTTGGAATATCCTGTCTGATAAGGG